CGTCAAGTTACCGTGTAACATTATGAAGCCGCCTAAGCCTGTCTTCTATACACCCAGTTATTGTTCAATGTTCATACCTTTATAATGTAGTCCATTGATACCTGGGTGTTTGTGCTTATTATCACTGGTGTGATAAGTCCTTATTATCTACCACACATTAGTAGGTTTTTTAATTAATTTAATTATATCAAGGGCAAAAAGCAATTCCTTTATATTCTTTATATATATCAAATTCTTTATCACACTCTTTTATGCTGAATATCAAAAAAGTCTTTACGTTATAAACAGTTTTACATGAATACAACATATACATTTCATTAAAAATGTTATGATAGGCTCACTTTTTATCAAAATTGTATGGTCTTGAAAAGGACCTTTTGTGAAAGTCGTAAAGTACTGTTTCATTTAACTGAAATGTTGCATTACAATAGATCTTCGAAGAGCAGATCCTGAAATTGATTGCTCATTCATTCTTGAAGTTTCTTCCTCTATTTCTTCATTTAAATGCTCAGTTTCTACTCTTCTCTGCCAGGCAGGCTTGTGATAGAATTGTGTCTTGTGTGTGTCTGTCTGCAATTGTATTTTTAGTCCATGCTGTGTTACTACTATGACTGCCCCAGCATAAACTAATGTATGAATGTCTGAGAGTGTAGAAATTAAATGGACGTAGTGTGGTAGTGAGTGTTTACACAATTTAGTGTTTTTCCTACTACCTTTGACGCGTTAATTTTCGGTATTTATGGTCTTTGCGTGGGATCTGTGCCTGTATATTTAGTGAGTGTTTCCTGAAATATAGGCTAAGTGAGAGTGTATTAACTAAATCCGTATCTATGTTATCGGTGATGGATGAGAAAGTGTCTGTAGTTGTTGTTAATGGTAGTTGTTGTATGTGTACTATTATCAAAGCTTGTTGCTGTATTATCTTGACAGGTTACATGATCTTCATTAATGTTAAATGTTTCTGTCTGTTGATGTATTTGATCAGCAACCTGTTGTTTGATAAGTTCAAGTGTTGGTTGTGGGATAAGGTTGTTGTGTATACAGTCGACCTCCCTATAACGTACGTTCCTATAACGGAAATTCCTATAACGTAGCGAAAAAATTGTAGCAACTTTCGTATAACGTACCTCCTATAACGTCGTTTCTCGAGAAGATTGATAGAGTCTGGACCAATAGTGGATGAGCAGCCGAACTACTTACCTCCGACCCTGCGCCACGCTACGGAGCGGCTAAATTGAGTTTGCTATCGTCTGTTTAGTATTATATATAAATTATATATAAATTAGGTACTGTACATATAATTATATATTAATTATATATAAATTAGGTACTGTATATATAATTATATATTAACTTAATTTATTGTAACTTTATTATAATTATATATATGCTTTCTGCCGC